GGATGATTATCCATTAATCAATTTACATTGCTGATATATGCTAACTTAAAATTTAAAGGACTTTGGAAGGATATTTTTATCTGCTAATCTCCAAGGAGGTTAATAGCAAAATAAAACAATTTTTTTCTTGTGGGGAAGCATCTGTTCTTCAATATGTACTTTTCTTGTACGAGAATAATTAGTTTTATAAGTAGAAATTATGCTTTCTTCAGATTACTTCTCAAGTATCAACTCATTACACTTCAAATATCAGTAATTCTCTGCAATGATGTGAAAACATACAAAAAAGGCTCATTGTTCAGATAAAAAAGATAAAAAAATAAGGTGATTAGCGAACTTCAGTATTGAAGCAGCAGCACACTGTTGTTTCGACTAGTACTTATTACCAAGTTTGAAGTGATTCTAACAGTCACAATTTAACTTAATTAAACAAGTATGAAAATTATCCCTTTTCATAACTCTTCCCCATTTTTTCCCCCCAAATTACAAGCTTGAGTGACCTACTTAGCAGGTCATTCTTATTGCCAGTGCCCACAAATTTACCTCATATCTCAGCAAACACTGCAAGAGTCTCTTGTTTACTGTCCCAGTGTTGCTATTCACTCATCTACAGTTATTATATACACCTACACAGAAAAATTGCAAAATAAAACATAACTAGAACCAGTGTATGTCCAAGCCTTAAGTTACACTCTCATCCAGCAAGAAATTTCTCTGCTGAACATTTTTCTAATACCATCTGTAAAACTTGAGTAAATAATTGCTAAAGATAATTTAGAAACATAAGATCATTCTGTAAAAAAAATTGCTTGAATTAGTTTGGATTGTTAATAAATGACTATAACCACTAAACTATCGTGCATTCTGCTAAAGATCTACCCCTTCATTTTTCATTTTCTCTTAGCAAAAGGAAACAGGAAATCTATAAAGTTTATAACTCGGGCAAAAGTCAGGATCCTTTTTAGTAACAAATGGCTTCTTTAGAAAACATGCTATTCATAGGTCATATTATTATTCATATTAAGTACTTGAGCTGCTGCTAGAACATCCTTTAAAATTTATGAAATCACAGAAAGATATTACCTACACTGATTCAGAAGAATCCACAAACTACGTTTTACTTCATTTTTTAAAAATAGTTTAGTGAAGTTTTGCTATGGGTTTCCTTCAGCTATGCAGTCTATTTCCTCAAGTAGGATGATCCAAAAACCAGCCATGTATAAACAAAACCAGAAATACTGTGAATAAATGAATATTCACCAATGGAAGAACTCTTTTGACAATGTATTTCTAGAAGTATGGTTGGTTTACAAGAGACCATCCATATGTATGGATTAAGTTTCCTTCCTTCACCATAGTTACAAGCCTTCCCTCAGCCTTCCTCCTCCCCCCCCACCAAAAAAAAAACAACAGATCAGAGAGGAAAAAAATATATATTTAAATACAAGTATTTTTAGCACTGTAAGATCAGGCTATCTTCCACTGTTCATTCGGAATCAGAAATCATGGTAGTGTTCTCCTGATGCTCACAAAAAGTTGCAAGTATTCTGAAACATCTGTTGGTAGTAGCTATCATAATCAGGAAACACTGTTCAAGGTGGAACAGGCGAAAATAATTAACTTGAGCAGATGGATGAAGCAGTTGCTCAGTAGTAAATCAGAAGAAGATCATTTTCATAACACAAGGTACCAAATCAAATGCACATTCAAGGATCACTCAAGATAAGATAGCAAGTTTACCAATAATAAGAGCAAGCTATGAAGAATGCAGCTTCACAGAGGCAATAAAAAGGTAGTAAAACGAGAATGAGATGGAAAAGTACTTTTAGGAGTTTATGAGATAAAGAAACTACCTAGTGCTAATTCATCTGTTACTAAATTAAAAATGCCCAATACTAAATATTTTATTTTTAAAAAGATAAACTTACTAGGGTAGCACAGGAAATTAACACAAAGTAAATGGACACTATGAAAGACAATCTATGCAGAACATATCTTCCACAAGCATATAGCCTTTTAGTTTTAAACTGTAATTAAACTAGAGCAAATCTATTACACAGACAGAAACAGAAACCATACTTCAGAGAACAAATCCTCAGTGGCATGAATAAAGTGGACTTAAGTGAGCTCATAGGTGTTTTCCTGCTCTAAAAGCTGTTTCATTCTTCTGATTCTACTGTTTCCCAGCTTAAATCACTGACTGAAGTTATTGGTGTTATGTCATTACTAGCCTTGTGCGTGATACAAGTATTTTATAATCCTCCAGTGAGTCACTTCTGAGGCAGCACTACATGCTGGAGGGTTGCTGATACTTGATTTGGTAAATAGTGTTTTCAACAAGACATTCTGCCTTCTCACAATGTGTTCCCAGGAAAACATCTTTCTGACAGCATGTATTTCAGAAAAGCTTTCTTATTTTCCATCTCTTATGATCCTTGTTGTTATCTATGTAAGAAAACCTTACTGAACAGCAAGCTTCAAGAGAACCATTGTGCCATAGCACTACCCCATTTATGAAAATGATTGGCCAGAAATTATCATGTATTCTATTTTATAAGATTAAGCTTTAATACTTTAGAAAATACAGAAGCTGAAAGCGTAACTTTGCACACAGAATTCTTTCTTTCACAGCAACAGGACAATTTCATTTTTATTTACTGGCATGACTCCTTTAACTTACACAGAATTAGTTACTCTTGATTAGTACTGGTATGCAGAAGAGCCTGGAAACTGGCCCAGTATTTACAAGAGAAAAAATGCCTTTTCTGAGAGTTTGATGGTAACAAGAGATTGATTAACATTATGATTTTGCTAATTATAAAAAACAAGTTGAAAGGAGTGCATGTGTTTTTATACAGAGCTATATACATATACATACTGTTCCCTGGACAGAAATGGAGGCAAGATTAAGGAAGGCAAAAGATACACAGCACTGGTAAAGGAGTACAGATCTCTATGAGACCAGTGTCATGATGTATGACTGCATGGAACACAGAATGTTAATTTATCCACTGGAAGGAAAATGTGAAGTAAGACTTCTTCAAGCAGTGTAGGTGGAAAGTATTTACCCTCAGCATTTGCACAAGTCCCTGGTAATTGTCTGAAGCTAGGCACCATCATGAAGATGTTGAACTGAGGGGAAGGCTAGCAACTCTGTCTTTAAGAACCATGTTGTTATGAAATCATACAGAACACACAAGGTTGTATACAGCTAATATAATTTTATACAACAAGGGAAGAAAACTCTTAAATAAATATTTTTGTAGATAATAACGGAAGTGAGCTGAGCGAATTTTCTTCATGTTCAATTGCTGACATGAATTTCCTGAGCAAAACCAACCCAAATATTAAAAGTGAAAACACCATGGAAACAAGCAAAGATACTATAATAGAAAAAGCCTCACATATGGGAAAGATACAAAAGGAAATATGTTCTGATTTCATTTTCAGAATGGACAGTATGATGCATATCTCCTAATCCCATTAAGTGAAGTAATCTCTTCAGTAATCTCTTCAGTAAGGAAGTTTCCATTCAAAATTTAGTGTAGTCTTTGACATTACTTGTAAATTAAGAGACATTTAAGCTACCATGCTAGAAGACTCTATAGTGCAGTATGCAAAATAAGATTCATAAGCAGAAAGATGACAATTTCAGTGTAAGGCACAGGACACTGCTGCTCTGCTTTTGGGACACCTCTGTAGCAGAGATTTTTCCAGTGGCTCCACCACTCAAGAAAGGTAGTCAACTGCAAAGAATACTGGGTGCCTCATAAAGTTCACACTGCCTGGTTAGCAAGCTAAGCAGTGCCATCCTAGGCCAAAGAACAGGCAGAAAGCTTCCTATACAAACATCCTTGCTCACTCATCATGCAACCTATATAAGACAGCAAAAATCAACTCCATGGAGTTCATCAGTTGCTGCTTATAATGCAGATAATTCACCAGAATTCACAAAAAAAAAAAAAAAAAAAAAAAAAAAAAAAAAAAAAAAGGCATATATGCCTTCGCAGACCCGAATCTATCACAACAATAAGAAAATATTTTCTGAAAAAAACCCACATAATTTGAATACATCTTAAGGTGTTTTGTGCAATTTATACACCAATTTATAGTTCTCTAGAGAGTAAATAAATTCATAAACAGATAACAGAAATGTATTGAGAGCTACTAAGCAGCCTTAACAGTCTTGATTTCAGGTATAAGGCCTCCCCAGATGATTTAATAAAGCACTAATTGAACAAGGTTTTTTATTCTCTGAATGACAGCTCCATTTCTTTTAGTACAGTGGAAATAGGTTCCTGCAAGAGTCTGAGAAGTGCTGAAAGCAACAAGAGTAAGAAATCAGAAAGGCTACTGATGAAAGAAATAGAGGAGATTTGAGCATGCTGATTCTCAAAAGAACAGCTATATTTTTGCTATGTTTTACCTACAAACTCAGTAGATGGGAAATTACGAAACTACTTGCTAGTCATTCTGAAGCTTACAGCATACACTCAAGTAGACAGTGTTCAGTTTTCACACAAATCAAAGTTATTTTCAATTCTTTAGCATACTCCTATCTTCCTTACTTGTGATTTCAGAGCTGATTGTAGAAACAAGTAAGGCATACTCCTCAGAGAGACAGTTCTAAGCAAAATTGTACAACACTTTTATTTCGGAGAGCCTGTTTAATACTTTACAACTACAGTTATGCAACATCAGTTTATCTAAAATACTTAAAGCAGCTGTTCTACAACAAACTGAATTTTCTATTTATTTTCTTGATTAAAACACAGTATTAAAATCAAGGTCTTTCTTCCAGAAATGACTGAACATCAAAATGTATGAGTACTTTGTCCTTTCTCTTGCACCATTCCAATTAAGGCAAATTTTCTCTTCTTTCTCTTTGTATTAAGATGTAGAGTCATAATCAAAATTGCTTATTTAAAAATAATACATTTTATATACAAAGTGAAATGCAAGTCTCCAGAAAGAACAGAGAACAAATATTTTGAATTTACCTTTGGTATGCCTGAAGTATCAAGCCAGTTCTGGGAGATACTTTCAACAGTTAACTCAGACCTTTAAAAAAAAAAAAAAAAGTTAGAGAATACACACAAAAATAGACGTTTTTCACATAAAATTTAACAATGAAGTAGCTAAGCAAAACCCAGAATTCCCGGTACTGGATGTAATACAGTAGTAGTACATTATGGATTTTTTAATGAATAATACCATTAGAGGTGATATGAGCAAACTAAAGACAGATCAGATTTTTTGCATGTTTAAACAAAGGATAAATGGCTATAGACAGAGAATATTTAAGATGGCAAACTGCAGTTATGAAACATAAATTATGAATATGTGCTCCCATTTTTCTTTCTTCTACTGAGAAAAAAACACAAACAAACCCAAAAACATGGGATAAGTAAGTTTAGCTGGACACACTCAAAACCAGTTGTTACAGAAGCAGTCTATAAGTAAATATAAAGTACTAAAGAAGATTAAATAAAAGAACAACTTCCATTATCTTATGGATTTTAAAGGCACCGATAGATTTTAATCCTCAGAGTTACTGAGTAGTTAAATATATTTTAGTTTAAGTTTAATCTCTCCTACATTTTCTTGATATGCTGATAATACTCAATGTGAAGTCTGGAATAGTCTGGAGCTTCAACTAATACAAAAGAAAATAGCTTGTTTTGACCAAGCAATTTGGGACTAAAATAACCACAGGCAAAATTATTTGTACATTCAGAAATAATTTTTCCACTTTTGCTTCTGCAAGTAGCTTGTGCTGAATTTACTTCGACATAGGCTGAAAACTTCCCAACTTACAGGGAAGCAAATTAAATTAAAAAAATTACACTATTCATGCAGTATGCCAGTGCTGAAAAATGACACTGAAATAAGCTGTCTATAAATTCTGAGAATAACATGCACAGTCCTGTGCACTGAAATACCTTGGCAAGACTCATTCTAGTATCTGCAGCTACCCTCAAGTGAAGATCCATAACCCACAAAGTACCCAGAAAAGAACCTCCATTCTGAAGTTCTAAAGCAGGAAGGTAAGCTTCTCGGCACTGGTTTTAATTTAACTACATGACAAAGAATTCTACTGGTTTTTATTTTCCCCAACTCTGACGAAGTTCTGCTTAAAATTCTGACCCCACAGGAATTTTTTTTATGGACTGTATCCATGACTACGAAAGAATTTGCAATGAATTCATCAATAGTTTTTACTGAATGATTTTAGAACACCTTTGAATATTAACTTTTGCTAACAATCTGCCGCCACTTGGCGACAGATCAATCACAGTTATGTCTGACATGCAACTAGGAAAATTAATGCTAGAGAGCTTATGAAGTCTTGAAAGCAATCAATCATTATGATGAAACACTCAACAGAATCATAGAATAAAAATTTGTGTGTTTAGTGCTCTTAGTAATTATTATAATTATTTTTAATCTTGTCTAATTTACTTTGGACTGACCAAAGATTTAAATTATTGATGGTTAGGATGATTAGCATGGTTAGCAGCAGCACTTTTCCAGACATGGGTTGTATCTTGACTTAGATATTCTTAATTTCCCTGAATTCAAGATGAAAAGTTTCCCTTCCATCTCTCAACAGAACTGTATGTTATATTCCTTTAAGGTAAACTAATAGATACAATCTCTACTCCACACCATCAATGTTGTCAGATCTACCATGTCTACTCCCACTTAGCAATATTCTGAAGGAAGTATCATTAACAGCAGGCCCTCTTAATAGAATAAAATTCTGTCAATTTGAATTAGAGGCAGGAGTATCTGATTAAAATAGAGTCAGCTGTCTACTCATTGAGTAATTGTTCAGCGGTACCTGCAAAAAATACGCAGTCTGATCACAATAAGCTTGTCCAAAATACACAGGAATTTTGTAACAGAGGCAAAAATGAATCACCAGGTACCTTAAATGTAAAAAAACCTGTGCTTACAAGTGCTGCCCCGTGTCTTTCAGCTACTAAGATATACTTGCATACACAGGACAGAGCATCATACTAAATATTGTAAGAAGCTGCAAATTAAAAAGGAAAGGGTCATTCTATTCATAGTGACAATGCCATTTATATGTGTTTACAGTCTCTATTCTTTTAACAGTTTTCTTCATTTTTTGATCAGTCATATATTATGTTGCTGACTAAGGAGGCTTAATTTGGAAACATAACCAGTCTATTTAGTGATTGTAGTATATTTCAACAGCTCATGCAATTTAGGTCCCAACCTTTCTCTAAGGCTCTTTACAAGTGAGAAATGACATTATAAGTCTGGCTGAGGTGACTTAAAAAGTTCCACTAAAAAGAGTAATTCCCTAAAAGAAAAAGAAATCTCCCTAATTAATAAATCTGAGAAGTCAAAAATATATCCTGTAACACCAGGAAATAGTAGACTGTCACGGTCTGAAAATATATATATATATAAAAAATTTTCTCATACCATGTGATCCAACCACAGCATTCAAGAAAAAGCATTTTAACATTGGCGAGGATTATGAATTTTCAGGAAATTACCATTCTATATGTCTAATCACTACAGAAGTTGATTTTACATAGGTAACTGAACAGAGATGTCATGCTTGTAATGGGATGGTCTTCTACATTCAAGTGAATTATATCTAGATTTGGTCCACTTTTAATACTACCTTGTTTTTTATGCAAATTTGGAACATTTAAATGCTAGGTCCTTCAGGCATTATTACATTTATCTCCATGCAGTATTCTAAAAATTGGTGTCTAATTAATCTAGTCAGTTGAATTCCTTCCAAAGAGAATGGGAGGAAAAAAAAGATAAGTCCAAACAGTGAGTACACTTTCCCTGGGATAAGACAACTTTTTTTTTCTTGAGAGCATCTTACTGCAGTGTTACTGCAAAAAGCACACATAAGACAAGCTTAAAATGAGACACCAAAATTTTGTATAGTCAAAGGTAGATCAGGTGAATCATTTAATTTATTCTTTCTCAAGCAGCATAATCAGAAGAACACTTTTCCACTTTTTCTCTCATGAAACCAGCATAGCTTTATGTTCCAAAGCTGTACAAGAGCTAGCAGCTAGGTAAAAATGCTTTTACATACACGCTTAATTTGTTTTACCTAGGGATAAGAAACACAGATTCACATTGCCAGTTTCTCTACCTCTTTTTAACAGCCTAGGCAAAACTTAAAGTGCAAGATTTTCTCAGAAAAAAAATTATCTGGGTTGAGTGAATACACTGTATTTGCTACGTAGTGACTTTATTTACTATACCTTGTTGGTTTTTTTTGAGCCTGTGACAGATGATGGTGACAGCATATTTAAGATATGCAACAGCAGCTGGAAGCAATGAGTGAAAAAATGTAAGCAATAATACTGCATCTCCTGAGATCAGTGCAGGGCAGGAGGAGCTCCATGTGCAGAGCAAAAGCTCCCTTCAGCCCAGGAGAGGCCCATGGAGGAGCAGGCTGTCCCCTTGTAGCCCATGGGCACCAATGCAAGGCAGATCTCTACATTCAGCCATGGAGGAGCCCATGTTGCAGCAGTGGGTAAGACCTGAATGAGATACAGCCCATGGAGAGCCCTCAGTAGGAGCTGTGCTCCAGGCTGGAGCTGCAGCCCTGGAGAGCAACCCTCAAAGGGGCAGGAGGGCTAGGGGAGCTGCTGCCCATGGGGACAGTGGTGGAGCAGTGCCTGGAGTGTGGGCCTCACTGTACAGAGTTGTGTTGGATCAGTGTTGGGAGAGCTGCCACCTGAGGCAAACCCACCTAGTATCAGTTTGGCAAGAATTTCTTGTGAGAGGGGTCCATGCAGAGTAGCAGCAGAGTGACCATGAAGGAGCAAGAGAGAAAAAGTGTTATGGACTGACTGCAGCTCCCATTCTCTGATTCCCTGCAACCCTGCAAGGAGGTAGAGGATAGAAGACAGACTAGGCGGCAATTTTTTAGCTTGCTTTTAGTTTATACTACTTTGACCTGTTATGAACTGGCAGTTATCTTCCTATTTTGAAATGTTTTGCCCATGATGGTAATTGTTTAGCGATCTTCTTATCCTTATCTCAACCCCTAAAATCTTTTCCCCTTCTGCCTTTGAGGAGTGGGAGTGAAACCTATCAGGATGAAAGCACTACACCAATTTAGAACACTCTTGATAGCATTTATCAAAAATATCAACTTTCTGTACATATTACTTTTTTATTTTTCTTCAAATGTTTAGTGTTATGGAGACTATTGCGAAGATCTGATCTGAATGAGTTGAGAGTCAATACTTAACTGAGAAGTCCTTGGAAAGGTTTCTACCACTTCCAGCCAAACCCGAAAGATACATCATAGACTCATAGAATTGCTCAGATTGGAAGGGAGCTCAAAGATCATCTAGTTCCAATCTCCTGCCATGAGCAGGGACGCCACTTTCCTCTAGATCATAAACAAATTACTGTTCCAAAACCCACAAAGAAAGGACTCAGAGCCAAGTATTTCTAGAGGCTGCAATTCAGTAAAGCACCCATTTTCAGAAAGGGCACTTACCATCTACTTATGTTGCATTTCAGCATCTGTAGGACTTAAATCTGTATGTCTGATTTTCTGAATTGCCTTCTGTTTTAGATAGTGTACCGGGCTAAGGGAATCTGAGCTTATAAAATAGTATGGCAATCGCTTTGCGCCACTTTTCCCTGCTATAAGAACACTAGTGCCTCCTTTATCTTATCCCTTGTCAATTGTTTAGATTAGCTGATCAGATGATGAATGATCTAAAATATATACATATAGTATATATAAGGCCAGATGCAATGTTTCAGAAAAAGCTCTGTAAAATACTTGCACTGATGATAATTTCAAAGTTAAAGTTATAAAAACTGTCTACATAGCAAGCTTTCATTGCATTGGGCCCCAAGGCACTTTGGAAACTTTAAACATAAACCCATTTAATTCCTCAATCAAGAAAGAGAATCCACGTTAAGAAAAAAAAATTTTGTTCAAATAAACAGAGAACATGAAAGAACATAACTTTTTTGTAGGCTAAGAGGGAGGTAAAGGAAGGCAAAAAGTCAACATATCCAGCTGAAAATACTTCAATAAGCATATTCACTTCGTCTGGATATATGCATTCGTTCACATAAATTATTTTCAAAGTAAGACATTCCAGCTAGATGATGAAGCAAAGAGTAGTGACCAATTGGTGGCTGTCAAGAACCTAATAGCTTCCTACAGATAAGTTTTTTTTTTTCCTTTTAAAAAATATTTTTTTTCTTTTGAAGTGGAATCACAAATACTGGGAAAAAAGGTTGGGAGCCTTCCAACTGTTCATCAAAATCAACATATTCATGGTAAGTAGCCTTCAGTGTGAGTATCCAAGAAGGATAGCATGAAAGAAAGAGACATATACCTACGTAGACAAGTGTTTTGAAATTACAGCATTATTTTAGCATTGATTTCTTAATAAACTGAAAGTCTATGTAGATGTCCAAAGAATGTGGTTAGTAGGTCCGAGTTATTAGCAATATGAATAGCAGAAATATAACACAATCCGTTCTTTGACTATTCTGCATTATTAGAACAATAGATTTATTAATCCTCTTATTTTATTGAATCATTGAATCAAATAAAATAAATCACCACAGAACTAGCACAAAAAAGATCTGCACTCATAAAGAGCACAAACAGCTGCAACTCTGATTTATCTGAGGTTGACAAATCTCACTCTGTACGACAAGACCTTAAAAACACTGAGTTTCTGCATGGTTTACACGCTGGGCAGATGTGAAAAGGATCAGTTTACATTAAGGAATATAGATTTAAGCCTTAAGAAGAGCAGAATCACAGAAAGTTTTGATCAAAAGTTAGTGGATCACTATACAAAGACATGCAAGAGTAGTTTTCTTGTTGTTTGGCTTGTTTCTTTGAAAAAAAAAACTGCAATGAAGTCTCAAATTCCTCAAATATGAAAAAATAAGATATCCCAGTTACAAATGAATAGTATTACAGATTTCTTAGTAGTTACAAGTCAATATAGAGCTACAGCCAGAGCATATAATATTTTAAAAGGCTTTGAAACAATAACAGATAATGTCAATAGGCAAGTCTCCTTCTTGTCATTAGCCCCTTACAGAGAGAAATTGACCTTAGGTGCAAACTAGTTGATTCTAGGCCTGTTGGTCAGAACCCAGCTGCAGTACAGAAACAGAAGGATCTGTCTCTGAGAATGGATTCCTGTAGCTAGCAAAACTGAGTCAGAGTAGGAAGGAAGTAGCTAGGTATGTAGTCCTCCTACTCTATGTACGGAAGACAGCAAAATCAGGGACTGCATCTCCAGATGTCTGTATTTTGGAGCTGTTCATCATTGGGAATGTACTAAAAAAAGCTCTTGTAACTAAAACCTGGTGTACTTATGTTTGGCAAAAGAGAAAAACTTACAGTCTGCTGCATCAAAAAGCAGAACAGTAATGTACCATTACTCCATTACTACCACTACTACTACTACCAAGTAATAATTACAGAAAATTTCCACACTTTAGTGCAACTGCTTTCTGCCAGTTCTAATGCTACTCTCATTATGGAAGTCTCCCAATGAGCCAAACTCTTCTCTTAGCAACACTAAGTGTGCCTCTTTTGCCATAGCTGACTTAGGCCTTGGCTTCATTCCATACTAGTAATTTATTTCAAGGCAATATTAGAATGCTTAATATTTTTCAAGGAAGAAGTGTTTAGGTTTAATGTTAAAATTTTACTTGGTAGAATTGCGTAAGAATGAGTGATTTTGTGTGCTACAAAGAATTCGAATTGTTGCTCTGCATTTCGTGTGTACTCTATTTCTGCTGTTGAACCTTTGTGCAAAAAAAATCCACTTATCAACAGATAGTGTTGATAACAGATACTCTGTTTTTACCTTTTCGGCCTTCACTTTTCCTTCAGGCTGTTTTTGTCTACTACCAACAGCATGCATTCAACAATGAAAAAAAAAATCTTTGTAGCAGACAAGAAATAAATGCCTCCTCTCTATTCACGTGTTCTGTTACTCCAAGCACTACTGTTGATATCTACATTCAGGGTGATTTTGAGAGTACATAAGTTCAGATAAACTATATGTCTGGCTGTAAAATTAATTTCCATAGATCTGAATTTTTCTATGTATTATTCTGGAGAGTGATGCAAAACAAATGCTTCCATACTTCCTTTGCATTGGTCTTACTAAATGTTTACATGTATCTTGGCTGAAAATTGGCTGCTTATTCAAATAGCACTTTACATTGGGCAATGGAAAAACATGTGAGAAAAGGAAAGTGAAGTTTCTTTTAGCAAATCAAAGTATAATCAAATCACTAGATAATTCACTTCCTTATATTCTGTGTATTCTCCATTTAATATTCCTGATTTCTGTGGTGCTGGGAATCCCTATCCAATGATACAAACCACACAGCATTCCAAGGTAAATCTTTGGAAACCATAACACCACTCATGGTGGCACAAACCAATATCTCAATTATATGTCTCTCACTCCCTAGAACAGAAGCCTTTCACTAAAAATCTCAGAGCATTTTGCTTTATACTTCCCTTTTTTTTTTTTTTTTTTTCAGGAAAAATCTAAACTCGATAAAGACTTTCAGAATCATGCTTCCAAAAAATGTGTTTTTTCCAGTAAATGTGCTATTTTTTAAGATATGCCAGAGTTCACTGCAGAAGAATCTGTATTTGTAGTACAGTCCACAGTAATACAGAACTAACCAACAAATAAGCAGCGACATATTCAACTTTCTGTTAAAGACATGCTGTGTCATGTTCAGCCAGTCACACAGAGGATTTCAAAGGACATGAGAGATGCTTAACACTGGATTTCTGTGTTTTTTGTCTTTCCCTCATTTGGCACACTTTGTGACAAGGAGAGGATACTTCCATAGTACTGCTTGCGTAAAAACCTTCTATGCTCTCCTAGATCCAGGGCAAAGCTCTTCTTCTTGCTCTCAGGCTTCATGTGCCAAAAGCAGCACAGGCAGGAGGATCACAGATTAAGCTGAGCAGCTGTGCCTGGCACTTCAGGTCACACAGTGAACACAAAACCTTTTTTTTGGTTGCCTTAACATTAGAGACACAGCTTGAGGAGGAACATGGAATAGCAATATCACAAGTCTTATATTTTTGCTTCTACGTGTGAATGAGAATTTATAGAGATAGATACATATGCTTGAATGCAACATACAGAAAACAATAAGTGAAATACTATTTCTGGCTAGCATTGCTGAAAATTAAATCTGACTCCATTCTTAGAATTCTATGACTTTACTAGCCTCGTTCTCACTTACTCTTTTTGTTCAGGTATGTCTTCCAACAGCGTAGAAAGAAAATCCTGGAAAACAAACAAAACACCACAAATAGTGTGTTTATGAAGAGATAACTATGTGTCTGCATTGCTAAAAAGCAACAGATTTTTAAAGACTGCATATAATAAACAGTAAGAACAAAGTTTACATATCTGCCCTGGTGCTATACTGCCCAATTATTTATACAACAAGCATTATGTTTGTTAGTTTTTCAACCCATTCAAGGAAAAAGTGTCAATATTGAAAGAAAATGGACTTGAAAAGCTTGTTGACTATTTCAACATAATCCTTTTTAATTTCTCTATAAGAATACACAAACTATAGCTGTTAAAAGCTGGAGATTCATATACTCAGAGGGTCATAAACATCAGAATCAGGGGTATTCTTCACATTCTCTTTATTGTTCTTGTGCTATCACGTTATCATTAATGTGTAATTATTTATGAAAATATCATTAATTATATGAACATATTTGAATGTTGGCTTTTTTTTTTTTTCATTCCTCTACGCACCCAATTGATCAAAGGCCACACCTACCCTGACAAAATTCTCAGTCTTGCTGTGAATCACACCATGGAGTAAATTCTTCAAAGAGAAGGAAGACAGAATTTCTTTCATGGATTAAGAAGGAAAGTGCTATGACAGTGGAACAACATTACTATCATCCTCACTTATAACAGTATGATAAGACCTCTTTATAGAAAGTTCTACTTGACATTACTGAATGGCTCTCTGACACCCCATGCTATCCACAACATAGCATTATTAAAGACAGTCACTCTTCATCAGTCTAAATACCCACAAAGCATAGGAATCCTTCTTCACACTTGCTAAAAATTTGGACTCATCTCTTCTGTCTTATCTTAATTGTTTGTATTTCAATGCTCCAAAACAGAATAGGAAAACAAAGTACTTCAGACCTCACACCTACATGTCTTCATGTCTTTTAACATTTGCTGGTTATTAATTCTGCCTGACATACCACCATCATAGGACTGACTTTTCAGTTGCTTATAATTTTACCAAACACTAAATATCAGGAGTGACTTTTCAACCTCAGGCTATTTTTGCCTTCCTTTCCAAGTAAAATGGTTCAGAACAGTTAAATGGCAAACCTGGGAGATTAAGATTTAATGCCATTTTTTTAAGAGACTTTAGTGACCTTAAACTTTGAAGCAAAGACTTGTGGATGGATGGCTGAGTCAAATCACAAAACAAAATACAAATTGCATTTTTTTTCTGACAAGAAATTCAATGAAGTCAGAAAGAAAACACAAGTTAGCAATCATGTCACCACAGTGCATTATTGTTAACAAATCGGCTTATTAATATATATTTTAAATCATATTGCATTATTTTATAATTTTGAGTGATCTGTTATTATTAATAATATTAGTAGTAGTAGTTCTAAATAATCTCAATTCCCTATGTACTCCTATTGCTCCTCTGTGGCTGGAAACTCAGAGGCCAAAAAACAGCTTTTCCTTATAGACAGAAAATGTTACTCTGAAGTTTGTGAAATGAATAATGAATATTAAAGGAAAAAAATCTTTTTTATCAAAAACTCAAATCTAGATATTATTAGTGATATTATACTTCATGATAAAAAAAATAATTTCAGTTCAACTCTCTAATTAAATATACATAGATAAAGTTGTATAAAAGCAGTAACTCAAGATGGTATATCTAAAGGGGTGTTCAGTTAGTAACAAATGCGTTTTTGCTCCAGATACATTTACATCTAATTCTTTATGGAAACTACTGACTCAAACTATCTCAATCAATTATACAATTTTAAAATTACTTAAAAAATTGGCAAACATTATTTTGTCCCTTTTGGGGGTGAAAATAAATAATAAGCACCCTTCTTAGGATGCAGGTGGAAGACTGGATGCCTGAAAAGCCAACTGTGTGGGATGTGGCAAAAGAAGGATGGCCAGCATGGCAAGAAAGGTGATTGTCTCCCTCTGCTCTACTCTTGTGAGGCTCCGCACGGAGTGCTGCAACAAGGCCTTGGGCCCCAAGTACAATGAAGACATGGAACTAGTAGAGCTGGCCTGATGATCAGAGGGCTAGAACACTTCTCCTATGAAGAAAAGTTGAGGGTGCTGGGCTTATTTAGCTTGGGGAAGGCTCTGGGAGACCTCACTGTGGCATTCCAATACTTAGAGGGAGCTTATAAACAGAAAGCAGACTGACTTTTTACACAGGCAGATAGTGATAGGACAAGTGGAAATGATTTTAAACTAAAAGAGGGGAGATTTACCGGGAGGCTGGTAATAAGCAGTCCACCCCAGGAGACTGTCTTAGGAGTGGTGCTCTTTAACATCTTTATCAATGACATCAATGATGGAATTGATTGCATACTCAGGAAGTTTGGTGATGGCACCAAGCTGAGTGGTATGGTTGACACAGTGGAAGAAAGGGATGCCATTTAGACCTCAATAACTCAAAAGGTGGACCTGGGTGAATCTAATGAGGTTCAACACAGCAAAGTGCAAAGTTTTGCACTTGGGCCAGAGGAATCCCAGGCATCCATACAGACTGGAAGGAGTGGTCCTTGAGAGCAGCCCTGCAGAGAAGGATCTAGGGGTCCTGGTTGATGAAAAACTTAACATGAGCCAGCAGTGTGCTCTTGCAGCTCGAAAAGTAAATAGTATCCTGGGCTCCATCAGAAGAGGGGTGGCCAGCAGGGACAGGGAGGTGATTGTCTCTCCACCATGCCCTTGTGAGGCCCCATCTGGAGTACAGCATCCAGGTCTGGGGCCCCCAGTACAAGAAAGATGCAGCTGTTAGAGAGTGTCCAGTGGAGGGGCTCCTGATCAGAGAACTGGAGCACCTCCCCAACAAAGACAGGCTGAGGGAGCTGGGCTTGTTCAGCCCAGAGAACAGAAGGCTGTGGGGTGACCTCAGTGCAGCCTTCCCGTACTTAAATGGAACCTACAAGGGAGGGGAGTCAACTCTTTACAAGGGTAAATAATGGCAGGACAAGAGGAAATGGTTTTAAGTTGAGGGAGAGAAGACTTAGGTTGGATATCAAGGGAAGTTCTTTACCAAGACAGTGGTGAGGTGCTGGAACAGGCTGCCCCAAGTAGGCCTTGGATGCCCCGTCCCTGAAGGTGTTCAAGGCCAGGTTGGATGTGGCCCTAGGCAGCGTGGTCTAGTATTAGAGATGTAGATTGGTGGCCTTGCATGCAGCAGGGGGGTTGGAGCTTCATGACCCTTCAGATCCCTTCCAACCCAAGCCATTCTATGATTCTATGATTTAGATTAGATGTCAGAGCGTGTTGAGGTACTGTCACAAGCTGCCCAGAGAAGTTGTGTATGTCCCATTCCTGGAGACATTCAAGGACAGGTTGAATGGGGCCCTTGGCAGCCTGATCTAATGGGCAGCAACCTTGTCCACAGCAGGGGTTTGGAACTCTTATATACGCACAGTTTAAATATAATCAATGAAAAGTCAAAATATCTAAGTTTGTAAAACAATTCTATTTGTTTAAACTTTAACAAATAAAAGAAGTTGAATAGAAAGAAAAGCATATGGTATGGCAAAAAGAGTGCCAACCATGGAACAATTAATGGAGAACAAAATACCAAACAGCTGCTTTACATCTGATTAGCACCTATTTTACATAATCTTTGGGAAGATCTTTTGGAAAGATCTTTGGGAAAAAAAATATAAATAAAAGAATTGTGATCATATAATAGTTAAAGATTGTCCCACATTGCATACATGTAAGAAAAGCCAGCAAAGGTTCTTACTACACAGCTAAAATATTTCAACGAAATAGATAGGAATATGTTTACAGAATCACAGACTCATAGAATGGTTTGAGTTGGAAGAGACCTTAAAGATTGTTTCAAATACCTCTGCCACTGCGTAGGAGATCTTTGTCTGGATCATACTGCCATAGCCTCACACAAATTGGTCTTGAACAGTTCCAGGCATGGAGCATGCACAACTTCCCTTTGCAACCTGTTCTAATGTCTCATCATAGTTGTCACAAAGAACGTCTAATCAAACTATACCCTCTTTCAGCTTGAAGCCCTTGCCCCTTGTCCTATCACTGCATTCCCTGACAAAGAGTCCCCCTCCAGCTTCCTGTACGTTTCTAAGTACAGGAAGACTGCAATGAGGCCTACCTAGAGCTTTCTCTTCTCCAGATGGAACAATCCCAGTTATCAGCTTTTCTAAACAGAATAGGTACTCCAGTCTATTCAAAGAGGAAACTAATTCAATATGATAAAAATGGCCCATCTATTTTATTTTACAAGCACACGAGTGTAAAGAAAGCAAAGACCCTTGTCCTATAGGCTGCTGTGGCTGGGACAGTGTCAGAATCCACACCACACTCCATGGATTTCAACAGCTGTTTACTCAAGCTCACAAGTCAAGCATGGAACAGCTGAGGCCAAACTGCAATTATATAAGTTTAAATAAAAATAAGTATTAGGAAAAGATTCTAGATGATGAAACATCAAAATACATACAGACTGCATTGTTAAGCTTCCAATTCTAGGTGAAACAGTTCTAAAAACAGATAGTTGAATGATTGTGAATGACTGTGAATGAATGTGTGCACAGACCAACTTTTGGTGTGAAAAAGATAATCGCATGCACATACATAAAAAGGTATGCAGGAAGATGTTGATGTAGACATGCACACTAAGCTTGGATTCATACATCTGCCTTTAAAACTTCCAAGTATAGCATAAAATATTATTTTTTGAAGTGCTGTCTTCTTACTTGTCATTTTACATGAGCAAACTGTAGCTCTATCAGATGATTGAACACTACAAACCTTTGGTTATTATTGTATCAGAAGTACATAAAAATGAAAGGCTGCAAACAGTTCAGTTTCCAATGTGTTCTTATTTCAATATCAAACTGAACAACTTTAACTGCATTACGAGTATCAGCAACTTGCACTCCTGGATATTATTCATAGTCAGTAACACTCTATCCATTATTTAAAAAATTCATTCAATGCAGTATTAAGTGAAAGAAAAATGGAAGACTTTCTTAAAATCCTTCTTGGAGATTCCTGACTTGTCTGTTAACGATTCAACTAAAACAAACAAAAACTACTATTAAAAACATACTGAGCATGCAATCAAAATGAGGGAAAAAAAAAGCACTGATTAATGGTTCACATCTGAAGTCATTTCCTTGCACCTGCAGCTCTCATCTATGAAAAGTACTACAAAAACCACTGAAAACAAGACTGGTATTCAGAACGTGGACAATTATTTTCACTACTTTTACTTTACCCCTTCCCCACAATTCCTAAAGCTGAGAACTTCTACAATTATTTTGGACAAGCTGGAAGTACAACATTATGACATTTAAACTTACCATTCATACCTCAATTTATTTTAAATCTTTTATTCATTTAAACCTGGACAGCACATTTGCTCAGGCAGGATCCTGAATAATAAACTTTATACTAACTTGACTTCATTACTCCTGCATTTTCAGTTCCTGCTGTGATTATTTATTTACCAATACCAACATAAATACAGTCTTTAAGATTTCTTACAGAGAAAGAAAACACATTCACGGTTGGATATAGTCCTATTTGCTTTGCACTTGCTAACATACTGATCAACCAACGGGTTCATGCTAAAATTCAGCCTTGCCCTTAATTTACAACTATACACCTGCCTAAACAGGATTAACTCTTCCCATCAACCCAGTAGGAACTCGATTTACGCTGGTATGAAACAAGGTAAGAGTACAAAAAGCATCGCCTCTTTATACCTGATTCTCAAGCAAAGCCATTTAGGAATGTTTAAGACATCCAGCTCTTGCTAAAAATGTTTACTGTATAGAACCAGAGTACTTTCATAGTATAGTACACAGTAAATCAAGATCCACCAAATCAAATATCTTCAAATAAGCACCTGTTTTTGATCTACATCAAGCACATAGCTATGTACATACTCAAATAAAAAGCAGCCCAAGAAAACTAAAATAAAAGCATCACTTACTCTTGCTTGACTAATTAAAAAACATTAAACAGGTTTTTATCCAATTGCTCAAAACAATGGTCTTTCTGTGCAGAAACAGCATATGAGACTAGAGTAAGATAAGCAATAAACTGATGTTTCATAGCAAAGTGCTGGGCAGAATAAGAAATCTCTACGTACAATAACTAGTAGCATAATGTGCTAGAACATCTTGCAGCATTTGGAAACTCTGCAGACACAACTCATCTCATGTCAAGAAGGAAAGTGATCTAGTAGCAACTAGAGCCCTTTTTCTCACCAAAATTCCTGCATCTGACTATAATCAGATTAAAACACCAAGCTACTTCAGGCCTTTAGTACTTTCATGATTTCTGTAATTTTCAGAACATCTTAAGTTGTGTAATTCTGTAGCTCACATTTATGATTTTGGACACAATCATAGGGACAAAGCTTGTATAGTCACTAGTGTTTTCCACTCTATGCTAAATACAACTGCTCAGGGTCTAAGTAACACAGTACAGGAAACAGCTGTAGCAGTGGAAAAATTAACTGCCTCAGCACCCCAAATATTCCTCTACAGGGCAGAATTGCTGCAGTTGAGCAATTAAACTTAAATATTGTGTGACTTGACATAAAAAAGAATCTGCAGGCCACTGAGTTATTTTTAAAGATACAGAGACAGATGGCCCGTTCAGAGTGAGAACCGAAATACCAGGCGCACTGAGCAAAGAATCACTGCCCTGGAAGAAAGTGGAATGTGTTGGACTCCGTTCCCTCAAGAGCGATATTCTGTGTTGAAAGGAGAACACATAGATTTATCTATGATTTATCTATGATATCCATGATATACACTGTCCTGAATCCTCTTTATCTATGATATTCACTGTCCTGAATCCTCTTTAAGATTTAAACTGTCACACCACAAAACACAGTCTTCAACAAAGAAACTAATTTCAGAAATTCACTCATGCCCCTTCTCTCTTTTCCTGCTCTTCACTCTCATCACATTGCTCTCCTATTTGTCATGTCATGGCTTTTGTTCCAGGACTGTTTTTAACAATGATGACTTCAGTGAACTAGTTCATACACTTCCACAAATAACTATGTTTACAACATTACAGATGCAAAAAGATGCTGTGATTGTTTCATCACTAGTGAAATGTTCCTTAGAACTTTGGGTTTAGAGAGTTATGTCTTTCCTTTTTCAAAGCAATAGACCTGAGAAGACTATTTCTCTTTTAGTGATATAGGTAGAGGTTACAGGACCTTTTCAGAAAGATCTGGGGGAAGTCAATTTCTATCTATAACTGCAGTTGGGTTTTCTACCTAAGAGATGCTACAGTATTTTGTGGTGTGACTTACTCAGTCTTTCTGTCTGAAGCCATTCTACTTTTCATGGCATAATTGTATAATATTTATGTCAAGTAGGAAAGAAGCTAAGTCTGTAGTGCAAGTGATTCATATGTGTAGTGGATTTTGGAAGGACAAATTCTGATTCTTAATTCAGTGCTATTTTTCAAAAGCCAAGCCTTTACCAATCGAAGAAGAAATAATTTTCTATGAGAATATCTGCTCTTGACTGCCACTGCAACAGTGCATCTTAAAATATCCCTTGTGGTTAATACTTCAGCAACAGAAAGAGGCAAGAAATTGTTTTAGACAGCATGAGAGTATGGAGCATGATAAGAAAACTTTTAAAGGTGATGTGACAAGACTGTAATAAATGTGTGTGCAATGTCATACTGTGACAGTGACACTGACAGTGGGGAGGAGGCAGTTCTCATAAGACTGAAATGAAAAGAACCAAACAAAGCAACACAATCAGAGGAAGGAATAAAGGAAGAATGTAATACGCATACACCGTTTCTACTTATAGAGTTACATTCCTACTCTGTGTTTCTTCTTTCTCAAGAAAAGAGAGTTATCCAGGAAGATACTGATTACAACTAAAATCCAGAAATTAAGAGTACAATACAAAAGACAATTACAGGAGAGTAAATGACCTGTATTTGTATTTGAGAACATCAGAACCTATGAACACAATCTTTCCAAGTATCAAGCTGACAGCCTAAAACAAATTTAATCCATTGCTTACATTATTTGATACATACAAGGAATCAGATTCAAGTATCACAGTGAAAAATGGTATTGCCTCCTAACAGTCATATCACCAATACGGCTAAGCTACAATTGCCGTTCATTTTCCACCACAACCAGAAGTAGTCATTTAGATAGTCAAACAGAAAGTTGATGTCCTTTGTGTTTCAAAATGTGAGTAACAATCCTGAACGCTGTACCTGAGAAAGAACAAGCTGTCCGTGGAACTTATGGATGAATTTTCGTAAAGATGCAAGGTATGAAGCCTCTCCTAATGTACTTGCCAGAGACCGCAAAAGAAAATAACCCTGCAAGAAATTAAGCAAAAAACAAATAGGATGCTATGAATACACTGATATCTAGGAGAAAGAAATCTTTGTAATAGTAGTAAACCAATCTCAATAAAAATCAGCTTACAAAACTCACCTTTAAATAATGAACTTGCATGAATACTTTTTCTGCTTTAAGACCATGTTTGACAAAAGATGCTCCAGATTCACTCACTTCTCCCGTACTCTCCTTGTGAGGCCTAAAATGGTAAGAGACTAGTGAAGTCTTTGATAAGTAAGAAATAGCTCATGTATTACATCTTCTCATAGTTGAACCACTGTACACATCCTAGTAACTTAAAAACTTCAGCTGGGATAGAAAAGAAAGCCATTACCAAGTTAGTGCACTATCTTTACTGACAGGTTGACATTATGTTACATGCCATCCTACAATGCACAGACACATTATGAAGAAACAAAACAGAAAACAGGCATTTTAAGCAAAAGGGAAGAGAAGGATACTGCAGTCATTATATTCAACTACAGATTCTCTTCTTACACCTGAGTGCTGACTTAACAGCTTACACAATTATATTTACAAGAATAAATTCTTTCATTCGCATGTAATACATTGCAGAAAAAAATACTTTTTTGGCTTTCATTTTGGTGTTTGTTGTTGGAAAAAAAATTTCAAAGTTTTAAAAGAGCAAGCTTTACAAACACATGCTGTCAACAGTTTTTGAGCTGGTGTGGCCCAGTTCCATAACAAAATGGGGCAGAGGAACCCAAAGATTCACACTCTGGGAGAGTGGGAAGGGGGAAAAATTAGAAAGAGTAGGGAGATAGACCTAAAAACAAAACAACGGCAGTGAGATAAGGGAGGAAACTAATGTACTAAATATAACAGCAGAATCTGAGATAACACAATATAATAAAATATAATTGGAAATTAATTAAAATGGGAGAGAATGTCCAAAACCAAAGGCCTTACTCCACTTCTGAAGGTAACATGGCTGGGAAGCACACACAGAGACAAGCAGTAAAAGGAAAAGGTCATCTCATGACTTCTGAGCAGTTTTATCTTTCCCTCTAAACAGGAAATGGAAACGGAACAGTGAAAGTCCTCTGGGAGATGCAGTTCTTCTTTTCTGAGAACCAGGTACCCAAAACTATCAACAATCCATGGAACTGGGGCCTTAACTCTTTAATCCCCAGTGTACTACATGATGTTATGATGTGGAATATCAATGACAAAAATCATTAAAACCATGACACGCACGTTTGTGTGTGTAGTGGAAATGCTAATGACCTGAAACAATGATCAAGCACCTGGTGGGAAGGCAGAGCCGACCCAGGGGAGCTCAGGTGAAACTGACTGGAAGCGATGGAGTCCACTTCTTCTCAGATGTCATTTAAAAGTTGGCAGTGGAGATGAGGGCATCTCTTGCCAGACATACCTGACTGCTTGGGGCTTCCAAGGGCAAGCAGCTCTTTTCCTTCATTTATGTATCTGTGCCTGCTGTATTTGAGCTCATGTTCATTTGCTGTAACCAAGGACTTTGCCACCCTGCTATTATCATCTGATTATAGCATTACATGTTTTTCGGACAAATATAGAATAAACTGCCTGATTTTAAAACATAATACAGAATCTGGTGTGCATGAAGTTTATGGCAGTGGAGTCTGAAGGGTTTCTAGGCTCTTACAAGCACAAACTAAAACTAAAGAGAAGCTATGAAAACATAGCTTTACCCATTTCGAAAATATCCCACCAAGCAGTGGTCTGAGAAGAGATGCTTGTCTTAACAGCCTATCCCTGTTACTGAACCAACCTCTTTAAATCTCTTGGTGGATTTTGAATTGCTAGCCTCAGAAACCAAACATACTTTCCCCAATTCAAGAGAATAAGAGCAACACAGGCCACAGAGTGCAGACTTCTTCAAACCACGTACCCTCCCTTCACTTCTCATAAGTAGTCCCAATAGTCAAACTTCTTTCAGATCCATATTGCTTTGAGAAAAATATTCTTTTTTTTTTTTTTTTTTGTCTCTGCAGTGCTCTCTTATTACAATTTCGCCAATTTTTTATTATTATAACAATTAAGCCATTTTTTCCTCAAGTGCCAGCTTTATAACCTGAACACATCAAATTCATTATACACATTAAAATCTCTGGCAAAAGGTAACTGCTTAAAATAGAAAAAGAAAATGATGTTTAAATTTTATGTTGTTTCTAACACACAGTCCTTTACCATGCAGTATTTGTATATGGCAAAGGAGATAAGTGATAGTAAGAAAGGCTTTTTTAAGTATGTCAACAGTAAAAGAAAGACTAGGTGGGTCCCTACTAAATGTGAGCACACAGTGTCCACCCTCAGCAAGTTTGCTGACGATTCAAGGTTGACAGGAAGGCTGACACAGCAGAAGGTTGTGCTGCCATTCAGCACGATCTGGACGGGCTGGAAAGCTGGGCAGAGGGGAACCAGGTGATGTTTAACAAGAGCAAGTGTAGAGTCTTGCACCTGGGGACAAATAATCGCATGCACCAGTACAGGCTGGGGGACCACCTGCTGGAGAGGAGCTCTGTGCAGAGAGATCTGGAGGGCTTGGTGGACAGCAGGTTGGCCATGAGCCAGCAGTGTGCCCTGGTGGCCAAGAGGGCCAATGGCATCCTGGCGGGCATTAAAAAGAGTGTGGCCAGCAGGTCGAGGGAGGTGATCCTCCCCCTCTGCACTGCCCTGTTGAGTCCTCACCTGGAGTACTGTGTCCAGAATGGGCTCCCCAGTACAAAAAAGACAGAGATCTCCTGGCAAGAGTCCAGTGGAGGACCACAAACAAGGTGAAGGGCCTGGAGCTCATCTCTTACGAGGAAAGGCTGAGAGACCTTGGTCTGTTCAGCCTTGAGAGGAAGACTGAGAGGGGATCTGATCAGTGCCTATAAATATCTAAGGTGTGGGAGGCAAAGGTACAAGGCCAGGCTCTTTTCAGTGGTGCGTGGTGACAGAACAAGTGGAAATGATCACCAAGTGAAGCACAGAAAGTTCTGCAGAAATATGTTTAAGAACTTCTTCAGGGTAAACGTGACAGAGCACTGAAACAAACTGCCCAGAGTAATTGTGGAGTCTCCTCTGGAGATGTTCGAGACCCACCCACATGCCCACCTGTGCAACCTGACCTAGGGAGCCTGCTTTTGTAGGGACGTTGGACTTGATCTCTAGAGATCCCCTCCAACCCCTATAGTTCTCTAATTCTGTGATTTTCTAATTTTCTTTCAGGAGAGATCCTCCTTCAATGTTGAAGGATGAATTAAGGACACCTTATTTTATGGTAACTTCCATTCTTCAAGACAGTGTAACCATTGGCAATACCTAGGCAATATCTGCAACAGCGTGTAAATGCTCAGAAAGTTACTGTTTTATGCTGTCAGTACTTCAGTACACTTGTGTAAAGCAGTGGTTAGTGTATTTACAGCACAGAGACCAAAAGTTCGTTACACTGACCTACAGAATCTGACATCTAGTCTAGCAGATTAAGCTAGGCATAACAATAAAGGCAAGGTGAATCAAAGTATTTAAGCTACTACTTGACAGATTTTTGCTACTGCCACATTTCTGCATGAAGCAAAAGATGCTGCTTTTGTTAGTGAGGATAAAGTAAAAATACCAATCCCTAGGAAATCCGTGGTAATTAAATGGCTTGACGATGATGAAAAGCTACTCAGAGACTATGAGAGAATAGTGAAGGGCACATTTCCTCACAGAGTGATAGAATAAACTCTTTAAATACCTACAGAGCAGGCACATGTTTCAGGAGTGAAATGGGTAAGGTTACTGATATGACTTAAGTGGAACTCAGAAAAACACTCAGATGTCAAAACTGCTTTGTCTTGATGAACAATCTCAAACTGAAGTTCAGTTGTAAGGATCAGGACAGGATACAATCTCAGTACCATTTTTTGTTGTCACTGAATGAAAAAGACATCTCTAGTCTTTATTTTCATACCACAGGGAAGTGGATAACAGAGCAGGCATTGACGCTGGCCAGCAGATGAGTGCAGTGCCAGGACACTCATATTTTGCTTTTATCCCTTCAGACTTGCTTCAAACTCTGAGAAAATATACAGTTTGGTCTGTAATCATATCATATATGAGTAATACATTTAACTGACATAAATCCCTTTAATATTAAGATTTGTTGGTGCTGCCTTTCAGAGTTCCTGCTTGCTGAAAAGACTTATCTACTTCTGTCACACCTGGCTTTGTTTTTTGCAGGTAGCATCCAAGAAGTTACTATAACATAATAAAAAATATCCATAATAAGAAGAAACATAATGCTAATGATTGTATCTGAATATATTCATTTCCTGGAACAAAAGTTAATAGGATCAACTGTCAAACTTCACACAGGTTTTTCCTGCTGTCTGATGAAAACATAGAAAATCATGTAATTGTCCAGGAGAGAACAAAAACACTTGTGAAAAAGGTTATGTTCAGAAAGTGGGCCTGATGATTTCTGTCTTCCTGGCATAATTAGCAAGAAGGGACAGTCACCATTTATTTTCAGTATCCTTGCATAAAAACACAAGCCTGAACCAGCACAACTCAATAGGGACTTAAAACTCAGTGCAAATCAAAGACATGAAATTTTCTCTTGAATACCAACACTAGAACACAGACAGACATACTTTCAGGTATATAACCAAATCAGTATATTTGCAAAAAGAGAACATTTTTCAAGTCCACAGTAAAATGACAAAAACATTCATAAAAATAAAAAATTGTAAAAAATATTTATATCTGACTGAGAGCTGTAGAAAGTCCTTAGATGCAACCAAAGGAAACTGGAGCAATCAAAGAGGCAGAAACTGACAGAATCCCAAACTGGCATCATAATTGTCTCCAGAAGTGCATAGTAGAGGCATATTTTTCAAACAATAAGTGATTCTCATCCTTTTGTATTAGCACTGAGAATTCTACTACATGCAATGTAGTAAATGCAAGAAGTTTATTACAGACACTCATTTCTACTATGTAAATGAGTAGAAAATTTAAGTATCAGTTTCAAGATCATAGACTCATAGAATGGCTTAGGTTGGAAAGAATCCTAAAGATCATGTAATGGAGCCCACTTACCATGGGCAAGGCTGCCACCCACTATATTATTTTGCCCATGCAACCTGCTCTTGAATACCACGAGAGAAGGGGCATCCACAGCTTCTCTAAACTGTGTTCCAGTGCCTCATCATCCCTGTCATAAAGAATTTCTACCTCATAGCTAATATAAATTCTGATCTAAAGACATTACCTCTTGTCCAGTCACTATACACTCTGATAAAGAGTCCATCTCTAATAAAGAACCCTTGTAATGTACCAGAAGACTACAATGAGGTCTCCTGGAACCTTCTGTTCTTCAGGCTGAACAAGCACAGCTCCCTCAACTTTTTTCATATGAAAGGTGCTCCAGCCTTTTGATCACTTTTATGGCCTCCTCCAAAAGCTCCACAACTTTCCTCTTTCCTGTGCTGGAGGCCCCTGACCTGGACACAGTAGTTCCATGCAGTAGGGTACAGTCACTTCCCTTGTCCTGCTAGCTACAAGATAAAGAGTTTCAAACTGTAACAGATATTTTGGCCCTTAGAAGAACAATTTTTAAAATTCACAACACATACACATCTTAGTCATATCATTTTATTCAGATTTGGCAGTTACATGCCATAGTCTGCATGTGCCTGTCTTCAGCCATAGAAAATATATTTGTTGCTCCTTCAAATATGAAATTTGTTCAGGAAATGTTTTCCCCACACCACCCCAGATATAGGGAAACTCTTGTAAACTGCTTGGAGACATTTTTTACCAATCTAAATCCCATTTGGAAAGCTTTCTGTAATAGAATGAAAAGTAATTGCATTATAGAGAAGATGAATAACCTCATCAATTTAAGTTGACTTTTCTTTTTTTCTTTAGAAGGAAATAAGGAAGTATAGTGGATTTAATCACATGTATACCCTTTGAAAGGAGAAAACAGTAGAAAACAGCAGGGAGGAAGGGAGGGAGGAAGAGAGGGAGAAAAGAATATGAGAAAGCAAATATTACACCATCACAGCTTTACCTTAAAACTTGCAGCTCTTCTTCAGAGTTCTGCACCTCATCTCTGAGTCGTCGCCAGCGAAGTAAAGCTTTCAATTCCTGCTGCTCTTTTTCTTCATCACACGAAAGCTGTTTAGTGGAAAAAAATTATTAATTGGTGTTTTCCAGCAGACAACAAAATTTTCCAGAGAGTAACTGATGTTGTTTTCTTTTAATACCCAAGCAATGAAAGATACAGTGCAAACACACGTTAAAAAAAACAAACAAACAAACAAACAAAAAAAAAAACAACAGTTATACTCTCTTGTTTAAGAGTTAATAGCAGAACTAAGAAAAACAGAAGCCTCACAGATCAAACTCGGTGTTTTCCCTTTAGTGACTGGCTATAAGATAACTGAATACACAGTACAGATAGCTCACATACTGGTTGCACCTTTACTTTTCTCAGTCTTGAAAGCAAAGAGCTCTTCCATGTCCTGACTTTATCCCTCTTCCTACTATGCCTGTCACCCTGGTGAAAGTTCCCTTGTAATTTTCTACATTAAAATAACATCAGGAGATGCATGCTTATGAAATAAATGTTAGGTTGTCAGCACACACATCAATAACTAATCTATGTTTTTTGTTATAAGAAAAGATGAGATGGGAGAAGGTAAAAGCAGCTAATATTCTCCTACATCACATTAGTATTTCAGTCACAACTGCAATTATTGGTAGACAGTATGGAATACACACATAACCTTACAATTGTAGTATCACACAGAACCAAAACTACTCAGTTAAAAAAAAAACAATAATAAAAGCAACAATAGATTTTCTGACTGTATAAATTTGTAAATTTAATAAATCAGAAAATTTATACGGTCAGGGAATAAACACCCTGTTTTGTTGCTCATTGCTTTCCAGCAACTACATGGAAAGGTGCCAACTACAATGGAAAAGCTTTCAAACAAAAGTGCAGACTTAAAGAGAGCAGCTCACCATAGGGGAGTGATGCCCAAATGCAAGAATGAATTTTAAGACCAGAAGGGAAAAGCAAAGTGTTGGGATAGCCTTCCCTTCTTCCTCATTCCGGAAGCATTTTAAATGTCAAGCAACTCTAATTCGTTTAGAACTATGAATACTTCTGATATTTAATAAAATGGAGGCTCAGAAGAGCTTGTGATGCCAGATCCCATTCTCACCTTCCCTCCCATAGATGCAGTTTGGAGAATTTTAATGGTAGAATCAGAGCCTAACTGACACAAGCAAAAGAACAGATGATGAACACACAAAATGCTTGAAGTAGGACAAAAATAAGAATTGGATCAGAAAATCTCTTTACTAGCAGACATGCAATATATAAGCTTTTAACTTTAAGACGGGCAATGATATCTAAGCTTTTGACAAGATGTTAACTCTTAACTATGAAATGTAAGAGAAAAAAAATGTTAACTGCTAGCACTCTGTTTCATCAGCTTCCATTTTGTTCTGAGGCTTGCTGCCACATACAAAATCAAATCATTTTCATTAAGAACCTGCAATATTCAGCAAGACATTGCTGATTATTCCGCTTTCAGGAGCATGGCACAAATGGAGAGAATGCATAGCAGCTGTTTGATAACTGAGTGGTAATATTTCAGTAAATCTTTCCACTCTTATTTGCACTGATCTTTACCTCTGTAAAGATTAGAGTTATTTATGGGTAGAGCAGGAAAGATTCTTTTTTTCCTTTTTTTTTTTTTTTTTTTTTTTAAATCAAGTTAGCCTGCAAATTCCAGTATTATTTTAAAGAACTTAGCCTCATAACACAAAAGGTTTTATGAATACTTAATTCACAACAAAGTTGCTCTAAAAGTAGTGCCTCCTATTTATTTCCATGGAAACTACAGGAGATACAAAAAGCACAATAACACTATTTAATAGAGCAAATTTTTAACTATAAAATACTACTGTTCAACACAGGCACCACGATTAGCTATGTATTTTCAACACCAATGAACAAAAGCCTGAATGTTATGCTCATAAATATCTGCATCAGCAGGGGTCAACCACTGTCACACAGCTGAAATGACAACCCACCACCTCACTCTGCTCAGATCCACTGTTTGGACTCCAGAAACATTAGGCAGGCATTGATGAATGTCTGTGGGTGTCATTTTTTTCAACATGGAGGAATTCAGTGACACACCCTTGCTTCACATGCATTTCCATGTCAGACAACATTTTGTCAGACCGCCCCTCTGCTGCCATCCATCACACGGCAACAAAATGGAACAAAATACTGTTGGGAATGTTCAACTCTACTGCCATAGCACCAACATCCAACTGTAACATCATGGGCAAGAAAATAAAATAGGAGGCATTACTTTCAGGGTAGCACTCCTATATAGCTTTGACTTCCACATGATTGAGAGCTAGTGCATCATGACTGAGAACTAGTGCATCAAACTTACCTGTTGAGCCCTAGCCCAAAATACATCTTCTAAAAAAGTGGCAAACCCTTCACTTATCCACTCTTCAGTCCAATCACGAGCACCAATGGCCAATCCAAACCAAGAATGAGCAATTTCATGGCACAGACGTGTTCCACAGAGATGGCTCCCTCCAGGCAATACACTCTGTGACAAGAAGATGATGTGTGGGCTGCACAAGGGAAATGAAGGACAAAATACATTATAAGTCTGTTGTAACATCCAGTGCATGGCCATAATAATATGTAGACTTTATTAGACTTGTCAGCCTGTTATTACATATGCATGCTAGGTTATGACAAACAGTTTATAGTTCAGGCGTTTTTGGGAATCAGGTTGTACTTTATCACTGCTTGGCAGAGAATCAAACTAAAATTCTGCCAAGCAGTTGCTTTGTATTCAACCATCAAACAGCTATTACCTGTAAGAAATAACCTAAACCAAACTTCTATATTTTTCAAATTACAAGACTGATTTATTTCAACAGAAGCATTTGTATGTAAGCCAAGATGATAGATGATCAGATGTGAATACAGGCAGCAGTTATTTATCGGTTAAATGATCAAAGCTGGATGTAAAGAAACAGAAAAAAGAAAAAATTTATAAAGAAAACAAATCACTATCGGAACAAGAGCCACATAAAGTAAAGCACTGTGCTTCTTACTACCTAAAACAAGCCAAAAAGATGCCATTTGAAAATAAGAGTTGATGATTTACGTAAACACAAAGGAAGGAGAACACCCTTTGCTGCAAGAACAAGAGTGAAACAAAGGCTTAGACGCCCACTAAACATCTGCTTTTCACAATAGCAGAAAATAACACAATCTATATCTACTCTATTTTGTACTCAAGTAATAAAAGAAAAAGCTGGAGAAAGAAATACTTGCTATCTATATTTATTCTGCTATGGAAAAAGCTTATACTGAACTGCAAGTTTCTGCAGCTCCCAGTTCATGTTCTGCTGTAAGGCAATTTCTGTTATGCTTACAGATCTTATAAACCACCACCTACAGACTATTCCTGCACTAACCCTAGGCATTCATAATCTAGATTTCAACTGTTTTCTATTAGAAAGGAAATGAAGAATAATGGTGATACTTCAAGGCTACAGATATTTAAGTTTAGCCTTTTGAACGTGGATGGGCAGCACATGGTCTTAAGACGTTTCCAGGAGTCAGATAATATTTGTCAGCCTTCAGCAGTGCTTCCCCCCACCCACCCTACCCTTTCGCTGGAAATGTTAATACACCCCCAGTTTTCCTGCAACCGGTTCACAGTGTCCAGAACTGAGAACATAAAGCATGATACACACATAAACAAAAAATCGTACCCAATAACAATCTTGTAAAAATGATAAAAAAAAAAATAATAATAATCAAACATCCTCATCCAGCACATTTCAATCATTTGGTATTGTAAAAAATAGTGTAATTAAAGCACCAATAGAGGAATCTAGTCACAGAGAACAAAGATAAAACTGCAGCTCTACAAATCTTTGCAAAAGATTTGCAAAAACTGCAAAAGCAATTCTGATTAAAAGAAGTAGAGGAAGAGAGAGGAAAAAGTAAGAGCACAGAAGATGTGGAACGTGATAAGCCTTCAGAAGCACAGAAGCACTACTGATAAGAATTGCTGCAGCTCTAGGGGTATTACTTAGACCAATTTTAAGTAAATGACCCCTAACTGTGGCATGCGTACAGTGCTACAAAGAAGAAATGGAGAAATGGACCAAGTAAATAACATTCCAGACATACTGCTGGCAGTGTTTTGGCCGTATAGCTAAGTAAAATGCAAGTAACTTCATGCCTCAGAAGAAGGCTCATAGAATGATTTGCATTTTAAGTCTATTGCAGATATATACAATAGCACAGATTCTATTTTCTTCTATTTTCTTCTTTTTCCAACAAAAATAATGCAAGCACCACAATCAGAAAATCTCCTTTATGAAAGGATCAAAAAGCACTGAAGCAAGAAAAAGGAATGAGTTAAATTTTTGGAAAGGAATAAGAATGCAACTTCCTACAAGGCCTGACAAGGTAAGCCCACCTTTTAAATTAGTCTAGCTGACATCTTTTCAAGTCTGGCCCAGGTTTCTAAAGCAAGCCAGAACAGGTTAGCTGGATGCGGTAAGAAAAATGAGAAACCTCTCCAAGGTTTAACAAAAAAAGAAAAACCTCACCAGTCCTTCCCAGTAAGCTAAACAAGTTCCCTATGCTCTTACAGAAACATAGAAGCTAATGACTTGCTTTCAATAAGTAAACACTTGGTTACAATTTTAAAGCAAAAGATTATTATTCTGACCAGAATTACACCCTCATAACTTACATATTTGTATCATTTGACTGAAAGAAGGAACACCTCTTTCTCCTAGTTAAACTTCCATTAAGGGAAATCTTAAGGGAAACTCCATAACTACAGTATGAATAGGAACACGCTAATAAAAATCTTTGCACTCAAAGGACAAGAATTTCTTGGCATGGAAGATCAAAGAGTCTTGATGTTCCAGTCATCCAAATGTACCACGTTCTTGTTCTCTGTAACAAATAAAATGTTTCCAATGATTCTTAACAGTAATCTGAACAATTTAAAAGTGAAATCTCTAACAGGAATTTTGCAAAATTATTTCTCCAAGCTCACACTTGATGCAGGTATCACTTGCACGGATGCTGCAGAGCTATTTTTGGTGACTCATGCACAGACAAGAAACACACAGCATAAACTGTAGCCAAATATATGTGCATGAATTGAATAGCTAAGAATATCAAATATGTATTTCTAGTTGGCTTGTTGCACTACTGCACTGCTTCTGAAGGAGAACTCTTTCTATTTAAACTTTTTTTTTAAAAAAAACAGGGATTTGTGGATAGAGTTTCTTAGATACTCTTTGATGTTACAGAGATGAGACAACTATGCCTCTGGAGTAAAAAGTAGCACCTAAAATCACTATTACAGATGGAAATTATATGATAAAAATTTTCATGTTTTGATAGTACTCCACATATTGTTTATCTTTTCCTATTTAGAAAAAGGAATCAGGTAGTAAATAGGTTAGCAAGTTATTGTATTTCCAGAAAATTCCTTCTTATACATATAAATGAGAGCAACAAAAACACTCCTAAAACTATTTTCATAGAACCACATTAAAACTGAGATATCCATTTCAAGGTTACTGGAATTTGAGTCAGTCAGATAATTAGATGACAGCTCTTTACAAATGCCTTGTGCGAGCTCTTATCAGTTGCCTTCAACCTACATTACTTCAGTGACAGAGAGAATAATAGTAGCACACTGTCTGTGGTATCTACATCATACATCAAATGTTAGTTTATATTTGAGAACACTTGTGTCATTTTAATGCAGACACAAGTACATGCCACATCCAATTACTCACCTCTGTAATCATCAGAATTCTAGAGCATACTACAATTTAGTCCCAAGAGAACTACAGAGATGAACAACCCTTTCTGATCTTCCATGTTCATAGTGTGCCAGAAACTCAAACATACACACAGATGCAGCTGTACAGACAAGAATTTTGTATTTAGAATACTCTGAGCAGTGTGCCAGATCCACTGGAAACTTTATAAAGATGTTTTCCCTGTAAGCATACTGGGAAATCATCAAATGAATGGATGTTACAGATGAATTTTCTAGAGCAGATGACTGACTGCCATAAATCCTGAAGTAATACAGTGTTAGAGCAGGCAACAGGGAAGAAAAGCAACCCTTGTGTGTCTGAAGGAGGATCATATTAGCCAATCTCAGAATACAGTAATTCAACATCCAAACTTCATATTACAGAGAAGAAAACATTAATCACTGACCTGAACACCTGAGCTGCAGCTGCTACATGGATTGGCAGGCAATTACTTCAGTTTTGCTTGTTTTACTGTAGTCAATCAGATCAGTCAGAATATGAATAAAAAAGAGTGCCACTCAGGCAAGACTCTTCATTGCTATTCAGGAGCAAGAAGGAAACCAAGCTACTGAAGTAGTTCTTTTAAAATTAGATCATGAGAACTAACCACATACAGAGTGATACCATCAACTTCCTTGAATCCACAGAATGGTTAATTTAAAAGCAGGATTCACATTTCATATTTCTATCTTCAGGGACTTCAAGTAGAAAAAGCAAAGCTGTACCTACTAATCCAAGATATTTATTTACCTGGCCAAAAAAGCACACATCTAGCAGACAAGAAATACTCCTGGAAGTTTTCATTTTTGCACCAGTCTTGCAAAAAATGGTCCTTTTCTATTTTTTTTCCAGCATTTTTCTGGAGCTCACCTCAATTGTCCTCTATAATCCAACCAAAATATACTATCTTAAAATAATGGACAGAAAACATCACTTCTCAGAAAAGGGTTACAAGTATTTCCCTAGATATAACTCTTGAGATCAGAACACATAACAAAATGAACAGTTTGTTAATAATGCAAGTAATTTATTTTAAAAATACTGTCTCATTATCTCTCTCACAGAGCATACTACTATGATAAAAATTTTAACCAAGATTTTACAAAATTCATGAGACAAAATAACTTATCTGTGGTTGATAATGTGCAGTCATATCATAGTAATAAATCCTACAGTAATAAATCCTACCGGCTTCAAGTGTTCTAACTCGGGAAATAACTGAGAAAGATTTTGCATGCAGGTTTCTCCTCTGATGCCTGAGATTCAAGTATTACCAGTGTACTAACCTGAGTACTAACTGCCTGCTGTTGCACAAAAAGAAAAAAAATATGGAAAATTACAGGGTAAAAAGAACGAATTATAGACTCAAAACTTTCTTAGTGGCCATCAAGATTTCATTCTGACTTGTGTGAAACCTCCTACTGAAAAAAACCATGAAGAAATGGAAATGTCTTATAAAAATCAATTACATTATGCTTCCTAATAAGAAACAATTACAATACTGTAAAAAAGTCTTACAGATTAGAACATTTTGAGGACTGAAGCTTCCTATGCTGTATGAAGTGGTATCAATTTTTCATATTTAATTGATTTATTGGTAAAAGCAAAAACAAGCTCCATTTCCAACACTCACATCTCAAATGCAGTTACTCCTCAAAAAGCACTGACACTGTTAACACAGAAAATAACTTGTGAATTAGTGCAACCAACTTACAAATCCCTTTTTAAGTAATCACAATACAAAATTCCATTGT